CCACCTTGTTCCCCACTGAAGGAATCAGAACAGGAACTCAAGTAGAGCAGGATCCTGGAGGCAGGAGCTGATGCAGAGGACTTGGAGGAGTGCTGCTTACTGACTTGCTCCCCTGGCTTGCTCAGCCTGCTTTCTTATAGAACCCAGGACCAGCAGCTCAGGGGTGGCCCCACCCACCATGGGCTGGGGCCTCCCCCATTGTTCACTAATTGAGAAAATGCCTTATGGCTGGATCTCATGGAGGCATTTCCTCAAGTGAGACTCCTTCCTCTCTGATGACTCTAGCTTGTGTTAAGCTACACTCAAAATTAGCCCGTATAAATGAGTATGTAGTGTGTGAGTGGTGGGTAGTGTGTGTGTGTGTGTGTGTGTGTGTGTGTGTGTGCGTGCATGTAGTGTATATATGTGTAGTTTATGTATATATAGTGTATGCATAGTGTCTGTATGTGTAATGTGTGTATTATATGTGTGTGGTATGTGTATATGTAGTTTATGTGTGTGTGTATTGCATGTGTGTAGCATATGTGTGTGTGTAGTATATGTTTGTGTAGTATGTGTGTAATGTGTGTGTGTTTAGTGTGTATGTTCTATTCCTATAGTAGAACACTGATACAGATGGCTGTAAGCAATCTCAAAATTTTAATCACTTGAAACCATAAAAGATATTTTTTCTCATAGTGAATATTCACTGTGAGTCTGCAAGAGTTCTCTGTTCATCAGGGTCAAAAGAGACCCAGTTCAACAGGAAGAAAGCTGGCTGAAGGGGAATATATATGCAAACAAATTCTCTAACCAGGAAGTAACATGAGTCACCTCTGCTGAAAAGACAAGGCTCTCACCCAGATTGGTACCAAGAAATATCATCCTGCTAACATTTCTAAAATGGTGGAGAATCCGTGGCATTCAGTGAATATTCTGACTGACTCACACTCAGTCTTACCAAACACAGACTTCAGTCCTTCAGGGCAGAGTCAAGGGAACAGACAGGAACAATTGTTTGCAGTTTCTGTAAGGAAAATAGGTTTATTTGGTCTTATGATTCCAGGGGTTCAAGACTGAGGGTCTGCAGCACGTGATGGCCTTCTTGCTGGCAGAGTCCCAAGACAGCATAGGTGTCACCTGGTAGAGACAGCAATTGTGGATACATGTCTTCCTAAGAATGATTAAGAATATAATTCTGGCCGGGCAGTGGTGGCGCACGCCTTTAATCCCAGCACTTGGGAGGCTGAGCCAGGCGAATCTCTGTGAGTTCGAGTCCAGCCTGGTCTACAAAGTGAGATCCAGGACAGGCTCCAAAGCTACACAGAGAAACCCTGTCTCGAAAAACCAATATATATATATATGTTTTGCACTTATATTTATATATTACACTTATATTTAAAAACACACTATACTCATAATCTCAAAATAATAAGAAATAATAAAACATTTTTTAAAAGAAATGCTACACTTCCTAAAATTTTCTAAGAGATGCTATCCAGATTACATAATAATTTATTATTATTATTATTATTATTATTATTATTATTGTTGTTGTTGTATTTATTGGTTTGGCGGCATGGTGGCATATACATGTTGGGAGATCAGAGGATAATTTCTTGAAGTCTGTTCCCTCGTTCCACAATATGGTCCAAGGGATTGAACTCAGGTCATCAGGAATGGCACCTATAACCACTAAGCCATCTCCCCAGGGCTCAGCCCACTCAATAATTAAGGAAGAGCAAAATTAATCATGAATGTAAGTAGTTTAAAACAAAAGCAAAACAAAAAAAACCCTTCTTCATTGTGGTCCTGAGTTTCAGGTATCCATTTAAGTAGACCTTGGAGTACACTGATGTCTAACATAGTAGGCAAATAAGAAAGTGAATAGGAAATAGGTGTTATTGGTGCACACCTTTAATCTCAGCACTCGGGAGGCAGAAGCAGGTGGATGTCAGTGAGTTCGAGGCCAGCCTGGGCTACAGATCGAGTTCCAGGACGGCCAGGGCTGTTAGAAAGAGAAACTCTGTCTTGAAAAAAACAAAAAAAGAAATACAGAAGAAAGGAAAGAAGGAAGGAAGGAAGGAAGGAAGGAAGGAAGGAGAAAGAGAAAGAAAGAAAACAAAAACTGCAATGTCTCCCTTCCCTACAGTGTGCTTATCAACTCTTTTGCAAAACACACAAATGAGAAACAGGAGAAAATAAAATTAAGTACCACAAATGTTTGAACACATCAGGGTATCCTGAGACAGGAAGCTTTTGTGTGCAGAGGTTGAGAAGGAAGAACTTATGAGAATCAAGAACCTGGGCCACTTTTTCAGATGCTGAGCAGAGCTTCACACACACTCATGGGGTGGGAATGTGATTTTAGAAATCACTGCCCAAATGGGTCCCGTTAAGCCCCTAGGCTTTGGGCAGGATGATGCTAAGAGCAACACAAGAAGAGTAGGAAGAACCGGAAACAGACAAGCTCAGAGAGAGTTTCCGGTGCTCTGCTCTGGCTGAGTTAAGAAGACTATTTGAGTCCTTTCTGCTGCTCAGTCATGAGTCAGCAGCAAACCAATATCATCTCTGAAGAAATTTAACAGTCAGAACTGTTTTTTTCTTTCTCTCTATTTTTATTTTTTGTTTTGTTTGTTTGTTTTTAGTATACAATGTTTGATACTCAATGAGAAGTTCATAAGTATTCAAAGAAGTAAAACCATGTGCCAAAAATAGAAGAGAAATTGTGAGTAGAAAGAAATCGTCAGTATTCTAGACAATGAGAGATTACACACCAGCTTCAGAATGATTCTGTGTGATTTGTTGTTGGAGGCACTAAAGGACAACAGAATTTTAGTAGAATGAGAGAGAGAGAGAGAGAGAGAGAGAGAGAGAGAGAGAGAGAGAGAGAGAGAGCAATGGAGGGAGGCAGGGATGGAGAAAAGGAGAGAGGAAAGAAAGAAGGAAGGAAAGAAAGAAGGAAGGAAGGAAGGAAGGAAGGAAGGAAGGAAGGAAGAAGGAAGGAAGGAAGGAAGGAAGGAAGGAAGGAAAAAGAAAAGTTTTCAGTAAAACAAATCCAGTAGACGAGTGAGGGAAAGAAAGAATAGATCCAAATTATTCAATCAAATTATTTTAATTTCTTAAAACCATTAAGGGGAAAGAAAGAAAACAAAAACAAAACTATTAGCTGTCAGGCTAGAGAGGCAGCTCAGGGCCAGAGTACCAGAGTACTTGCACAAAGGCTCTAAATTCCATCAATAGCATAGCAGAAAAGAAAAACAAAACAAAAGCCTGAACACACACACACACACACACACACACACACACACACACACACACACACAGTGGGGGCATATAATGGCTCATGCCTTTAATCCCAGCAGTCATGAGGCAGACAGATCTCTGAGTCTGAGGTTGTGCTGGTCCACATTGAGTTCTAGGACAGCCAAGACTGAAAAAAAAAAAAAGAGAGCCTATCTCAATGGTTTTCATGTGGAAGCTAAATGAAGATGGGTACGCGCGTTGTGGTGGGTTTTTTTTTTTTATATTTTAAACTTTTTTTTAATAATTAATTTTTATTTTATGTGCATTGGTGTCAGATCCTCTGGAACTAGTGGATCCAGACAGTTGTGACTTGCCATATGGGTGCTGGGAATTGAATCCTGCTCCTCTGGAAGAGCAGTCAGTGTTCTACAGGGCTAAGCTATCTCTCCAGGCCCGTTGTGGTGGTTTGAATGTATTTGGCCCCTATAAGCTCATAGAGAGTGTCACTATTAGGAGGTGTGGCTTTGTTGGAGTAGGTATGGCCTTGTTGGAGGAAGTGTGTTACTGTGGTGGTGGGTTTTGTGGTCTCATATATGTTCAAGCCACACCCAGTGCCACAGACCACTTCCTGTTGCCTGTGAAATCAAAATGTAGCTCCTTCTCCACATACACACAGTACCTACTCGGGAGGCTGATGTCAATCTGGGCAACACAGAGAGACCCTGTCTCAGCATATACAAAAGTAAATGGACCCAAATGGAAGCTCAGAAATTCAAAATACAATGAATTTAACAGAAAGACTTGACATATGGGTCCATCCAAATAAAACTGGACAATATAAACCGTGATTTATTATGTGCTATATAGAGAAAGAGATGAAAAAAGAGAAAATTTAAACTCATATCAGTAAGGGCACTGGGGCAGGATGAAGGTATTGATTGAGCTTAGATTTTAATAAATCTCTTCCCTTGGGTTGGGAAGGTGACTCAGTTAACAAAGGCTCCCAGGTTTGGCAACCTGAATCCATCCCCTGAGCCTGCACACAGTGGGAGGAGAGAACTGACTCCCATAATGTGTCCTCTGACCTCCACATGCATACCCTGACACATGTGCGCACACACACACACACACACACACACACACAAATAAATAAATAAATGTGATAGTATCAATGATGCATATAATAATGCATGTAAATATTCAATAAATAATAAAAGGCTAAATAGCCAATAAGATTATGAGAAGATGGAAGGTTTAAGAATAACTCATTCTGGGGCTGGAGAGATTTCTCCGAGGTTAAGAGCACTTGCTCCTTCTCTTCCAGAGGACCAGAGTTCTGTTCCAGGACTCACATTGGGAGGCTCACTTGTAAGTCCAGCTCCAGGGAATTCAGCATCTTCTAAAGCCTTCATGGGCAGCTGTACTCACATCCACAAACCCACACACAGACATGCATGCCACCTAGCTACCTATTACATAAAAATAAATATTTAAAAGTAATTGTTTAGCAGCTAAGATTAGGGGGAGACAGAATGACAAACAGTCATATCTATAGAAAGCAATAGTGAAATGGTGGATCAAAATCAAACAGAGCTCTAATTACCTTATTTTAGATAGATGAAATACCCACCTCATTTAAAAGATAAGATTTTCTAATTAGTTCCATTTATTTATTTATTTTCCAAGACAGACTTTTTTTTTTTTCCTCTGTGTGTTCCTAGCTCTCCTGGAACTCTCTTTGTAGACCAGGTTGTTCTTTTTTGTTTGTTTGTTTTAAAAATATGGAACACTTCACGGATTCGTGTGTCATCCTTGCGCAGGGGCCATGCTAATCTCCTCCGTATGTTCCAGTTTTAGTCTATGTGCTGCTGAAGCGAGCACATGGACCAGATTGTTCTTAAGGGCTGAGTTTTGGAATTACAAGTACAGGTTTTCAGAATGTCATTTTATAAATGGCAGTGTGGAGAATTAAGAGCTCTTGACCGTGGCCGGATGAGGATGGCCTATTTGTATAGCTGCTTTGGTGAGTTCCTTGTATTTTATTAACTGTTTTGTCTGTTTCCATTTCGGTGTTTCTTTTCTCGTTTTGGTAATAATGATTTTTGACTTTTTTTTTTTTTTTTTGCATCACTCATGGTCTTGTTTTTACATGATAACTGCATGTATTTAGGACCTATCAGGGCTTTCAAATAAATTTGGTCATACTTACGTGTAAGCGTATTTTACTGTAAATGTCTGGGTTTCTTAATTTACAACAGTTGTTTATTTTGTTGTGCAGTAAGGAGTATATTTGTTATTTTTAAAGGTTAGGATTAATAAAAAAAAAAAAAAAAAGGTGTGTGCCGCCATGCCTGGCTTGGCTTTATTTTTATTTTTTTATAGTATGGGGGATAGATCGTGGGTCCCTGAACACGCTAGTCCTGAGCTTATCCCCAGTCCTTGTGACTAGATTTATACAAAATGCCTAACCCTGCTACTTTAAGATGTCCTGTGATAGGAGGGCTCAGAGAAGTTGAAAGTAAACACAAGAGCATCTTTCCCTTTGTTTTTCTTAAGCATTTACAAGACGTGTTGAAATAACCACCCAGCCCATTGGGACTCTGGACAGCAAAGTCTTGAATTAACCTAAGAGAAGGAGCCAGCCTGGAAAATGTAGCACCTCAAAATTGTAAAAGGTGTTTCAGGTGACCAGATGTAAGAACTAAAAAACAGAGCATTATGAAAAGAAAACGGAGGAGGATGCCCACTCAGCAGACGTGGGTGTGAAACAAAGGGGTACAGGGGGGACTCAGCCAAGCCTCAGGTCCTCCTTCCTGGGCTAGTTAGGAGTTTTCAGTTTTCATTCTGGCCAGATTTGGCTTTAAACAAAAATACATACTGTGGTCCAGTGAGAAGCCTCAGCAGGTAAAGGCATTTCTTGGCAAGCTTGACAACCTGATTCCAATGCCTGGAACCCACATGGCCAAAGGAAAGAACTGATTCGTGCAAGTCATCCTCTGACCTACACACACACACAGAGAGAGAGAGAGAGAGAGAGAGAGAGAGAGAGAGAGAGAGAGAGAGAGAGAAAGAGAGAGAGAGAGAGAACTTCATAGTTCAGAGTTCTACCAGGTAAACCTTGAACCTTGAACATCAGTGTTCAATTCCTGGGATCTTCACAGAAAATGGTTTTGAAAGAAATGAGAACTTCAGGGTAGAAGTCTACAGAGAGAGTTGGGGTGTGTCTTAGTAGTAGAGCACCTGCTTAAAATGACAAGGCTCTATCCAGGTGTCAGTGACCAGGACAGTGTGGTGGGTGATGTCAGATCTGGCCCCTCCCCCTCATCCCCACTCCTCTCCACTTACTGTCTGCTCACTCCCACAACCATCCCTGTGCTGTTTGCTTTCTTACATTTCCATGCCATCTTTTCTGTGGACACCCTGCTTCTAGGTGCACTGACACCTGTTTACCTTGGGTTCCAAGCACCCTCTCCTCTTCCTGCCCTCCTTCCACATTCCTTCAGACAGCGTGTGATCCCACCAGGCTCCTCAGGTGCTCAACCACGGCCTTCACCACACAGCTCCCCTCAACACAACAGGAGTCGGTGGAAAGCAGCACTGTTTGTCTGTGCTGACCCAGGGCTCAACACTCCGTTGTGGAGCTAACAACCAAATCTACTCCTAAGAGTGTCAACGACTCTAGAGTTGTAGTACTAGAAAATATTTGGAAGTTGGTTCTGCTCCTGGGGGGATGTGTAGGGCTTGCACGGATTAACTAGCTCTGCACCTCTCCTTCCTCACCTGAAATAAAGGCATCCTGAGAGACCCACTTCAGGCTTCGTCATGGTCTGGCTTCAGTCTGTGCACCGGGGGATCTAGCAGCATCACATCACTCATGTAGATAAGAGCCTGCAGCTTTCCTGAGACCACACGTTAGTCCTCCTGACTAGGTGTTTTTTCTTAAATCTCTTCCGCTATCACTCATCAACCAATGTTCTGATTCTGTGGCTGGATAGTGCCATATCTGTGGTCAGCTTTACAGGTTTCCTTCAGCAGATATTATTGTCGCCAAGTAATAGACTAAATGCTGGTCGTCCGCCGCAGAATCAATTTGAATGTCATTGGAGTGAAAGTCCAATATCATCCATAGCTTCTGTGGCCAATGAATGGCAAGTCTCCTTCTATGCTTCAGTGAATTGACATACACTGAGTCTCTGGTGCCATTTGTCCCCTCAGTCTCTAGGCCAAGTGCTGGAAATATGGGAGCATAACGATGGATCCTGTCCCGCTTTCGAGGTTAAGAGTCATTCTGGATCGTTGCCTAGCAGTAGCACTTTATTCTGCTTTTTCTCTGCTTTTCGGATTCCCCTTCAATCTCCTGTCCCCAGGAAGTGAAGTGGATGGAGTGGGGAACAGAAGACAAGAGAGCAGAGGACACTATTTTAGCCCTCGCTTCCTTTCCTATCTGTGGCCCCATTCCCTTCCATTGTTGACCAACTCTAATGCAATTCAGGAAACCCAAGAATTCCAAGCTTCATGGGACACTTAAGTTGGACCTAGCCAGTTAGAACCCCTTTATAAGTATCCGCAAGTGTCCCCAATTAGACAATCCTCCAGAGTGATGAGAGGCAGGGTCTCTGCTGGAAAGAAGTGACCGAGGAAGTACATTGCCTCTGCCCTAGACTGTCGTCAGCGAATCCTGACGTATACACCCAGTGCAAACACTTACTGGGTAGGAAGACTGGAGATGAAGACAGAACATGCTCAGATATGCAAAATAGTCAGAAACAGGGGTCACGTGACACTTGCAGGAAAATGGATGCAACTGGAAATCCTTACATCAAGCAAACTAAGGTAGACATCAAAGACAAACACCATGTGTTTGGGGCTGGAGAGATGGCTCAGTGGTTAACGGCACCTATCAGTCTTGCAGAGGACAGTTCCCAGAACCCATGTGGTGGCTCACAACCATCCATAACTCCGGTGCCAGGGGATCTCATGCCTTCTTCTGTCCTCTGCAGGTACCGGACATGTACATGGTGTATATACATATATGCAAACAAAACATTCATGTAAATAAAAATTTTTTAAATAAGTCTTTTTTAAAATACCATATGTGCATATATGAGAGATACTTTAAGGATGCAAATGGATTCGAAACAGGGATAAGAGAAGCAAAAAATATATATTTTTTAAACAGAATGCTATTTCCTAATTTATTATTTGGATTTCCCATACTAAAATATAATATATCACTGGACAACTTTTCTTGCTCTCCTTGTACATATGAAGCATTCCATTGTACTAAACCTTTATATAAACACTGCAGTGCTATGCAAGATTTAGTATGACTTTGAGATGCTGTACTTTTCGTTAGCTTTGGTTTTCTCAAAATGCCACATTTTTACAGTATGACAGACCATAACACTATTTTTGTGTCCATGCAGGAACTGGGCCAGTATCCACACACTTTATTTTAATAACCTACTATATAATAGTTGTTAAAATCTATTACTGGATTGTTCTGATGGAAAAGTTTTAGAAATGTGTTGCCAGAAAAGCATTTCTATTTTCTTCTTCGAGAAGGAGCTGCAGACTTTCTCATCACAGTCATGCTTCTACAATAAAAGTAGCTGGGTATCAAGCGCCTCCCTGTGACAAGGACTATGGTACACAACTTTTCAAAGGATGTATACACAAGGTAAAACAGCCTCGGTTCCCATAGTAGGAAACCCCACGAATGTTCATCATAACTTTAACACTGTCTAAGTCCTTCCCTGACCAGTATGAACCCAACACAAGTGTTTCTGTTGAGACCCTTAGGTCTTCCCTGAGTCCCGGAAATTCCGCCCATTCCTAAAGTAGACAGAGAAAAGGAGCCTCACTTGCAGATGTGATGGAACTCAGCGTGACCTTCAGTCCCTCTTAACCCAGAAGTGGAATCTCAGCGTATGTCTGGGGGCGGGATGTGTTTGGTGGGCACTTGGACCTCTGTTTCAGGGACTGACAGACATGGCTATGACACACTGTTAGCTCAGAAGGCTGACCTGGACTAGGAAGATGCCCTTCCCACCTGGGACACTACAGCAGATGGATAATGAAAAAAGGAACTGAGACTTTTTCCTCATAGTTCTGGTCCTGGTCAGAGTCCTGGAAGATTTGGCATCTGGCGAGGGCTTGCTTTCTCATGGTGTCCTTCCGTGGTAAGAGGAGCAAAGGTTTCATAAGAAACTGATCCCATATGTCAGCACTTGTCTTGTAATAAAACACCCGAAAAATGCAACTTAAGCAATGAGGGACTTCTTTTGGCTCACAGTTCCAGGGTGCGGTCCGTCACTGGAGAAAAACCATGGCGGCAGGAGCTTGAAGCTGCTAGTCACGTTGCAGCCACACTCAGGAAGCAGAGGGTGGTGAATGACTGATAGGATCACTTTCTCCTCATAAGAAAGTCACTGTATGTGACTCTGCCCTAACTTTGTGGTCTCGGGAGAGCTACAGTATATATCTGGGAAAGACTGAGGAGGGAGGCACCATCCATATGGCTATGAAAACACTCTCATGTCTGCTGGGTTAAAAGTTTTTGGTGTGGTCTTTTGGGTGAGGAGCTCCCACAACCCTGTAGGTTACCCCTTACCTATGCTCTGTAAGAAACCTCCAAAAATTCACTTTCCCCCAGAATGAACTTTAATGAACTTGTGCCTTAGTTTGTCATCAGAACTCTATGAAGACGGGTAGAGGTTGCTTATGTCTCCCCTAGGAAGACTTTTAGCTGCATGGGGGCAGTTAAGACGGTGATAAGAGCTAAAAGAAAGAGGAGGAGAAGGATAAGAGAAGAAGAGGAGGAAGAGGAAGAAGGAGGAGGAGGACATGACGGTAGAAACCTAGTAAAGCAAAAGCAAAAT